ACCTTATAGATGATAGATGATAGATAGATAGACAGACAGACAGACAGACAGACAGACAGATAGATAGATAGATAGATAGATAGATGATCGATCTGAGGTTAAAAAAAATAAAGCTATAGTTTCCTCCTAAGAAACTCACAGAATTATAATATCTACTTACACTAGGACCAGGATGGAACCTCATTATTTGTAAAGATTTTACAGATGGAGAAATTGAGGCTTCCAAAGTATCAAGGGATTTATCGATATATACTACCTGCTAGACCTGCTAGCCCCTGCCACCACTTGCCTACCCCCCATGAAGCCCTCCAAACCTTGGGAGTTGTTAGCAAGGAGTTGTCATTAACCTCTGCAGAAGTGACAGGAAGGTCTGTCAAAGGCAGGGTGGCCTCTGAACCTCCACTCCCCAGGATGGTGAGCTAGGACCAGGAAATGACCCTGGATGAATAGGAGACAGCCCAGGTTAGGGCAAAGCAGAGTGAGCAGACAGAAAGGAAGTTCAGGAGGAAGTCACCAGTGATTTCCAGAAAGTCATCTGCTGCAGGAACACATGGCATTGGGAGCTGTATCAGGAGATTAAGTGTGATGCAAGAGAAGAGCAGGTCAGAGTCCCTGGGCCACTCCCGGGAGAACACCTCATGTTTCCTAGGGTCCTGGGCGTCACACCTCAACAGGAAGTGCATCCCTCACTGTTACAAGAGGTAGGGGTCCTGCAGCCTGCCAGCTTCACCATCCTAGCTCAAGATTCCCCTTTAGCATGCTCCAATCCATTTGCGTACATAGACCACGTGTACCTCAAAGCTGAAGCTCCCACTTATGGGGAGGAAAGACAGGCCACCCACTGCTTATGGGCATCTGCTGCGTGTAAGCTGCTGCTGGTGTGTGCTCACTTAGTGGTGACAACACCCTGAATGACCATCTGGGGCTCCAATACTTCAGCCATAGGAAAATAGACACCTTTGCAGGTAGTGAGGGCTCCACTATCAGGGTGAGAAAAGAATTCAGCATGTTACCACCTGTGACCACAAGACAGGATGGGAGAGGGAGCACTCACCCCAGCCCGTTTCATTTTTGGGAGACAGCCAAGCCAAGATCTTACTCCCAAGATGCTGTTCTGACAGCACTGAGCTCTGGGCACTAGTGGAAGGCAGCTGGAAATCGGCTGCTCTCAATTCTTGGCATCACTGCCTGTCATAATGTTATATGGAAGATCTCGGAAAGGCTCATTAACTTTAGATTCAATCCAGAGCTGTTAGGTAAAAGAAGACACCTGAGTCACAGGACTGTTTCAAGGTTCAAAATCACCTTATAAGCAAGGCCTGGCTACCCCTACTGAACAATTTCCCTTGTTGATAAGGCACATCACACTTAAGAAGTGTGACTGGCAGGAGGATGTCATTCTTCCTGTTCAGTAGGTAGAAGTTTGACATGGGACATAGATACCCTTTTGGGTGTGTCCAGAGGTGTGTTTCTTTGTCCTAGAAAACTGGCTCCTTGCCTTTTACTGTTTCTGGAGGCTTCCTGTCCTCAGTGGCACGTGGTCCTTCCTCTCTCTTCAAGACTGTCGGGGTCCAGCCACCTTGATCATAATGACTTTTGCCTCCCAGGTGACCCCTGCATGCATTCTAAATTCTGTAGAACCAGCAAAGTCATTAAGATAGTCAGCCATGTGTGTTTGTGTTGTGTAAACTGCACATGAGGGGGGCTTTTTCTTTTCTGTTTTCGAATTTGTGTATGGGGGCATGGGGTATGTGTACATGCCACAGTGCCCATGTGGAAGTAGAGGACAATTGGCAGGAGTCAGCTCTCTCCCTCTACCATGTGAGTCCCAGGAATTGAATTCAGGTCATCAGGCTTGGTGGCAAGTGCCTTTAACCTGGTCAGCTATCTCTCAGGCCTTGCTCAGACTTTTTCTTCATCAACTTTGGCCATGTTAATGGTTTTTGAGAAAGGTCAAGTGCATTCCAGTTGGCCAAAGCCCACCTTTGTGTAGCTTAGCATATAAACCTTTCCTTTCTGCCTTGAGGTAAGGAAATCCACCTGTATTCCTGCTGCCTAAGATCTTCTGTCCATAAGTCCCTAATAGATCACACTTTGATGATCCTGGACTTGCCACCTCTGTCTTGGGGGACTTGCCCCTCTGTCTTGGGACTCTGGACCTCGTCTACCTTGGACAGCTACTCTAATACATCAACTCTAGGTCTTTCTGAATCCGGGGCATCTCTGTGCCTCTCTTCTGCAGCCTGTCTCTCCCTGTGCTACCTCCTTCTTCCTCCCTAAGGATCCTTATGACAACCAGGACCTGCCAGATATCCATGACCATCTCTCTGTTGGAAACCTGTGAATTCTGCAAGTTAAGCAGTCCACCCAAGATCTTCCTTTCCCTTTGTCTTACTGTAAGCATCCTGGCAGGAGTAAGGTATTTTAAGGAGACACTTGGGACCCTCCCTTTGGCTATCAGAGTATTGAAACAGTGGTCCCCAAAGAATTCAGATTCCTCAGGAGTCTCGTGCTGGGAGAACAAAAAGGCTGAAGCCTGGGGGCCTGAGAAGGAACTTGCCTGTTAGAAAGACACTTCACACTTTCAGGCCACCTTGCAGGAGAGACTGGAGCCATGGCAGTGATGGGTTAATGATAGACTGGACCACGCCTTGACTAGGACTGCTTAGTTATGCAAAGTCTTCACCGCTATTTAAATCTAAACCTCAGCTGGGTGCATGCCTTTAGTCCCAGCCCTCGGGAGGCAGAGGCAAGCCATTTCTATGAGTTCAAGGCCAGCCTGGTCTACATAGTGAGTTCCAGGACAGCTGAGGCTACAGGGAGACCCTGTCTCAAAAAGACCAAAAAAAAAAAAAAAAAATCTAAACCTCATGTCAGCTAGGCAGCTAGGCGTAGTGGCCAACACCAGATGTAGAGGCAGGCAGATCTCTCTGAGATCTAGGCCAGCCTGGTCTACATAGCAAGTTACAGGCCAGCAGGGGCTACAGGGTGACCCTGTCTCCAACATACCGAAAAAACAAACAAACCTCATGTCAGGACCCTGAAGATGGACTGGGTTTGGGGAGCACTGGACTTCTTTATTTGTTCTTTTTTATTTGTTCATTGAATAAATCTTTCTCTGATTTTCACTGTTACTCACCTCTAATATTGAGGACAGTGGGCCAAGCCTAGCTTATTAGGACTGCCAGGACCCAGGCTCTGAAACTAACCACTCCTGTACTAATGCTACTAAAATAATGTATTCCTGGGGGGCTGGAGAGATGGCTCAGTGGTTAAGAGCACTGGCTGCTCTTGCAGGGGACCCAGGTTCAATTCCCAGCACCCACATAGCGGCTATGAACCGTCTCTAACTCCAGTTCCAGGGGACTCCGAAGCCCTCTTCTGTCCTCCGCCATTGCAGGACATGGGTGCACTTACACACATGCAGGAAATATACATTAAATAAAAAAATAAAATTTTAAAGCCTATATTGTTGAAGTATACTATATGTTAATAATATATTAATATATTATATATTATAATAATATATTATTTTATATATTATTATTTTATTTAAAATAAAAATGATATATTATTAATATTATCATTATATATTATATATTATAATATATTATTTTATATATTATATGTATTAATATTATTATATATTATTTTATATATGTTATATATATTGTTATTTTATGCATACGAGTGTATTGCCTGCACGTAGGTGAGTGCACCCACATCGTGCAATGCCCGTGGAGGACAGAAGAGGGCTTCGGAATCCCTTGGAACTGGAGTTAGGGGTGGTTCATAGCAGCCATGTGGGTGCTGGGAATCAAACCCGGGTCCCCTGCAAGAGTAGTCAGTGCTCTTAACCGCTGAGCCATCTCTCCAGCCCCAAATAAAATATTTTAAAAAAATTATGTATTCCTGGGTTAAGGTGTGTACGATCCAAACACATTTCGGACCATGGTTCTGCTTCAAGCACTTCCCTGACCATGCAATCTAAAACCAGTGCCAGGAGGCTGGTGAGATGGCTCAGTGGGTAAAGGCATGTACACTCAAATGTGAGTGCCATCTCCAGGACCCACAGGGTGGAAGGAGAGAACCAACTCCTACAATTTGTCCTCTGACCTTCACATGTATGCCATAGCATGTATCCCCTTCCCCCAAAATAGAAAAATAAAAACTCTGGTCAGTGTGGTGGTGCCCACCTTTAATCCCAGCCCTTAGGAGGCAAAGGCAGATGAATCTCTGCGAGATCCAGACCAGCCTAGTCTCCATAGCAGGTTCCAGGTCAGCACAGAGAGACTGGTTCCAGGGACTACAGAGAGACCTTCAAAACAAAACAAAAAAAGCTCTGGCTGAGTGTGATAGCACGTCTTTAATCCCAGCACTGGAGAGGCAGAGGCAGATGGATCTGTGAGTTTGAGGCTAACCTGCTCTACATAGGAAGTTCCAGCTCCTCCAGTGCTACCTAATAAGACCCTGTTTCAAAAAATAAATAATAAATAATAATAAATAAAATGAAATCAAATGGCAGTGCTCTCCTAGACCACTCCCTTTCCCTGCCTTGTGACCCTTATTTCTTTTTCATCATCTCCCTCCTCACCTACAATGTGAGCATTACAGGGCAGGGGCTTTTGCCTGGCAATGACAGGCCTCACAGGGGTAGTGGCTTCTTTCCCCAAAGAGTCCTATTCTTTTTTTATTTATTTATTTTTTATTTTATTTTATGTGTATGAGTATATTGCCTGCATGTATGTAAGTGCATCTGTGTCATATACAATGCCTGTGGAGGTCAGAAGAGGCCATCGGCTCCCCTGGGACTGGAGTTATGGACAGTTGTTAGCTGCCACTGAAGTTAGGGATAATTGTTAGCTGATATATGGGTGCTGGGATTTGAACCTGAGTCCTCTGCAAGAGCAATCAGTGCTCTTAACCGCTGAGCCATCTCTCCAGCTCCAAGAGTCCTATTCTTAACCTTAATAGCTGCTTAATACTTTTCTTTCTCCTAGGGAATTTACATCGGCCTTCACCTATAAGCCCTGGGCTCCGCGTACTACAGAGACCCTGGAGCTGAACCCACCCATGGTAAAAGCATCAGCTCTGGCCCCTCAGTTCTCCTCAGGTTGCCCCCAGCAGACCAGCCACCCGGGCTCTACAACATCCTCCAGGAGGGGCCTGCATAGTAAGTCAGCCTTGGTCGGTGACTCAGAAGAACAGTGAACTGCTCCACACTCGGACCCATGAACTCCTGTGCATGCCCAGGCAGATGGGAGAGCACATTTCCCTTCTCCACAGGACCAGGGTCCTCACCAGTGGCTTCCCTGGCTCCTACCCTTCACTAATCTTTTCTGTTTATTCATTGCTCTTAGCTTGGCAGCTCATATATAAGCTGGCTAAGTGATGCCCTGCAAGCCATATCCTTTAGAAATAAGATTCCCACATCTAGAGGCCTTGCAAAGTCTAACCTGACCTGTCCCGACTGTATGAAGTTGGTCCTGAAATTCAGACCTACCTTCCAATGGGAAGTACTCACCCAGACCCAGCCTCTACAGCTGTGCTCCAGAAACTGGCCTGTAAGTCAAACAGAAGCAGGTGGCTCCTTGCAGGCAAGTTGGCAGAACCACCATGATGTCCCAGAGCAGGCTGGATCAAAGGTCACCACTCTATCTCAGGCCATCCTCCTGCCCTTTTGCTCAGTAGCAGGACTACCTCTCCCAGCCTCAGCCATACGACTGCCCTCCCTGCACACATACCGCCCCATCCCAGCTTGAGGACCTTTCCAAAAGGCTTCTTTAACAATAAGGGAAACAAAAGGACAGAGGAAAGAATGTCAAGCAGCGCAAAGTCAGCCATATGGGATACACACGCGTTTGTCACTGTCACTCCCTGGCCAGGCCCTGGGCATCCTAGTTGGTAATGGGCCATGTCTAAACCACCATCGACTTCCTATTCCCACTGAAAAGAGTGAAATAGAGGCTCAGGTCAGGCTGCTTCCTGCCAGGCCAAGAGGCAGTGCCAAGGGCCACAGGAAAGCTCAGCCAGGAAGAAGGCAGTTCAGCTATCTGACCCTGCCCTATTTCCAGGCTGCACAGGGTCGGACAGCCTCAGTTGATAATAATTGCAATAATAACACCCCCATAGCTAATGGCCGGCCCTGCCACACATCTAGTAGCAAACATCACATGGCCCAAGCCTGCATACACAGCCCCTAAGTAGTGAAGTCAATATGTCTTGTGGACTCCGCAAACAATGAGCTGTACCAAGAAGCTCAGTGAGCAACTCGACCGTGCAGCCTGCTTCCTGTGAGGAAAGACCAGGTCTGGCCACGGAACCAGGACCAGGAAGGGAACGTTCTCTTTATTCTGTTTGCATAAGGGCAGATTGAAAGAAGGGATTGTATGGGGCAGAGGGAGTCTGTGCAGATCACTTGGCACTGGCATCTTGCTCTTCTTCAGGCAACCAGCCTTACAGGAAGTGAAGATGGCTTCTTTCCCAAGTTGTCACCATCACATTGCCCAGGGACCAGCCAGCTTCCCATTCTCCACCATCCAGCAGCTGCAGGTGACGGATATGAAGAGACAGTTGTCTATGAGACTCGGTGACCCAGGAGCTTGGGAAGACCAGAAGTGAGAGTGTGGAAGCCCCAGTATCCAGAAGCCATCTCCTCAGACAGAACCAGGGGAATGGGGCTGGGAGAAGTGGTGACTGCCTTCCTGGTGAAGGGAAGTTTCCTGATCATTCTTCTCACTCAGAGGAGTAAAATGGTGGCCTTTGACCTCAAGACACTTTGTGGCTTCAGGGGATGACAGATTCTGGATTCAGCTTCCCTGCCTTTTACAGGCACCAGGCTGGACACAGTGCACAACCAGACCAGTGAGCGGTGCCATCTGGACTGAGCAGTATAAGCCAGTGCAGCCTTTTCCTAGATTACTGGCCAGGTGCAGGGCCCTTTCCCCCCCGCAAGCAACACGATGGGGGCCGAGGAGGGGCAAGTGTGCTGCCGTCCTAACCCTCCGTTCCCCGGGCACCACCAAGGAGGCAGAGAGTCTGTCCAGCAGGATCTCATTTATTAAGCAGCTGGCCGGTGTTTATATACATTTGTGAGTACTGGGTGGTCGTCCCCCCCCCCAGACGTGATTGGTCATAGTTACAAGTCACAATTAGCATTTTAGGTTTTTGTTTCCCCCATCAGTTAAGTTTTCAATTCCTATCTCCCTCTGCCCGTGTGGCCAGGGGCGGGAATCTCCTCCCCCCAGCGGGGTGCGGTTTCTCTTCTTTGTAGCAGGTCCAGGTGTTGAAATGAGATACAGGAGTTGGTGGGGGCCCACCAACGGTCTTCTGAAGCTGGTCCAGCTGCTTCTTTTGACCTTTTTGCCCTCTGCCTCTGCCTCAGGCCCCTACAGCCAGGGAGGCTCATGGAAGGCCAGTCTTCACTTCTCACCTGGACCAATTCTGAGCAAATAGAAAGGACAAGAAAACCTTATCCTCAAGCAATATCCTCAACCTCACACAGAGCACTTGCTTCTCCTTTAAACTCTGTTGAAGAATATAATGGTATACCTCAGTGGGTAGATGCTTGCCTAGCATACACAAAGCCCTAGCTACGTTCAGTCCTCGGCACTGTACAAATTGTGTGTGGTGACACTCACTGTAATTCTAGCACTCAGGAGGTAGAGGCAGTACAACCAGAAGTTCAAGATCATCTTCTGCTACATAGTCAGTTTGAGGCCAGCCTAGGATATGTGAAATCCATTTTTAAAAAAGAAGACTATGGTGTGTTCCAGTGTCCACAGTAGTCTTGGGCTTCATACAGCTTTAAAGGCCTTAGAGCGCCTGGAGACATGGCTTAGCGGTTAAGAACGCAGACTGTTCTTACAGAGAACTTGGGTTCTGTTCCCAGCATCCATATGGCGGCTAACAACCATCTGTAACTCCAACTCCAGGGGACCTGACACCCTCTTCTGACCTCCTCGGGCATTGCATGACATGGGTGCACTTAACATACATCCAGGCAATGCACTCCTACACATAAAAATAAAAATAATATATATATATATATATTTTAAAAGGCCTTAGAGCCAGGCATAGTAGTGTATACCTTTAATTCCAGCACTTAGGAGGCAGAAGCAGGCTGATCTCTGTGAGTTCAAGGCCAGCCTGGTCTACATAGTGAGTTCTACCAGTTTAACCAGTTTCCCTCTTAAACTAGGAAGCGTGGGCTAATAGGGAAATGGAGTGCCCTCTCTGTGCTCTTTGGCAGACATTGGATACAACAGCCCCACCAGCACAATGACTAGTCCCCACCATCACCAGCTCCTCACTGAAGGTAAGGTCATGCCCAAGTCTTAGGACAGAAGAAAGTAATTTACCTGCAGTCAGTGTCCTGAATAGTTACCCAAGCCATAAGGCTGGATAAAATTAATCACTATCTAGATACAGGAGTCAAAATCATAGGCCATTACCCAGGCTTTCCAATAGTGGCCACTGACTCCTCTGGAGGAGAGACAGAGGGGCCCAACAGAAGACCCTTGAACAGACAAGAGTCAGGTTACCCTGAGATGACATAAGCTGGTCAAGGGCTGGACCCCTGGATGGTCTTGGGAGCTGTTGGCAGAGGCACCAGGCTGAGTACATTAGCCACACCTCCACACTCTGAAAAGGTGTGCAACCTTCTCTGTTCTCAGGAAAGTCGGCTATGAGCTAGGGCCTGGAGTATCCACTGACCTCCTGGCCTGGCCTACATATACCTGAAATGTAAACACCAGGGCTCTCCACTGAACAGAGGAAAGCCAGGGCCCAGGAATAGATTGCACTGAGAAAGAGCCTAGAGAGGCTGCCACAGAGAGGGCTCTCCGTCCCCCTATCAGCCCACACTCCTAGGATTCCTTAGGTGCTACTGCCTAGCACAGCCTTTCCCTGCTTGGCGTGGGAGCAGCAGACACCAGGGCCTGAGAGAGTCATCCATTCAGTTGAGAGTCTCCCTCAAGCCCATGGTTGAGTGAAAGTCAGACTGGTCATTGTCTGGTCATTTGGGGAAAAGAAAAGGTAGTCTTTTAGAGGTATGAGGGGAATCCAGCTTGGGGTCAGAATACACTGAGATCACCAAGTGAGGTCTGGGTGGTTCTTCTGGAAAGTAAACACCAGGCCTCCTACCACACCCCTGCACCGGCTACTTCCAGGCTACATTCCAAGGCTGCGGGTTAAAAATAACCTTTCTTTTTTTTTTCAAAGGGTCTCCCTGTCTAACCCAAGCTGTCCTGACACTTGCTATGTAGTACAGGCTAACTTCAAACTGACAACTTATTAATAACTAATCCAACTATCTGCTGGCTCTGCTGAGCTTGGGTATGAACCTAGTATGGGGGGGAAATCAAATAAAACCACTCTGATTTCATTTTATTATTATTGCACATGTTGTGTGTGAGCAGATTAATGCTGGTTAGTGCACACATGTGGAGGTCAGAGGACAACTTGGCAGAATCAGCTCCCTCCTTATACCTTTACATGGGTTCTGGGAATTGAACTTAGGTCTTCAGACTTTACAGCGAGTGCTTTTACCCTCTGAGCCATCTTGCCTTCTCAAACAAAACATTTTAAAAAGTAATTGGAGATTTGATAACATGGTTCCTAAGATTTACCCATGAAACTGACCAGGGGAAGCCATTAAAGGAGTCCTAACAGACTTTTGGAAAAACTAGAATCTTCAGGTGGACTGTGGCCCCTCCCCTCGGGACCTGAGTGAGCCCAGCTCTGTTACCCACCATCAGTTTCTTCTTAGCACGATCTCGTTTTTTTTTTTCCAATCACAGAGCTGTGCAACTGCCCAGCAGCAGCTTGAATCCAGGACCCTGTTGGGGAAATACAATAGGCAGGAAGAAGTTTGTCTGCCAGTGAGGTAGCACCCATCAGGCAGCAGGTTGGGAACGATTAGGCCCAAACCCAAATAACTAAGTAAAATACAAGTGAAGCTGCAGCACTTAGGAGGCCGGGGCAGGAAAACTGAGAGTCCCAGGACAACCTGTAGGAAAAAGATTAATATAAAATGAAAAACATGCTGCGTGTGGTAGCACATGCCTTTAATCTCAGGCAGAGGCAGGCATGTCTCTGTGAATTCAAGGCCGGTCTGGTCTACATAGCGAGTGCCAGGCCAGCTGGGGCTACAGGGAGACCCTGTCTCAAAAAGACAAAAAAAAGTGCTGGAGAGATGGCTCAGCAGTTAAGAACAGTGGCTGTTCTTGCAGAACACCAGGGTTCAATCCCAGCACCCACATGGCAGCTAACAGCTGTCTGTATCTAGTTCCAGAGGATCTGACAGCCTCTTCTGTCCTCCGCAGGCATTGCACAACATGGGTGCACTTACCTACATGCAGGCAATATGTGTATACATATAAAATAAAAATAATAAAATATTAATATATATATATATTTGATCAACTGAATTACAATAGGGAGGCAACACCATGGTGGGAAAATGACCCTGACAGATTTAATTTTACAAGTGGGGTAGGTGTGTGGTACCCTGCAAGTGGCAGCTAGTCAGTAATGTCCTCTGTCTACTCAGCAGCTTGCTTCCATGTCCTCTCACACTGGCTCAGGCCCTGATCATGTAATCTGCATTGATCCATGGGAGAAGGGCACACATGATGCCAAAAGAAACTTAAAGAGCTTTTGGGCTTGACCTCTCGTGGCAGTGGGAGCCCTGAGACTACAAGCCCAGCCACTTTGTTGGAAGATGAGGCCTCTCTGGAGGAGAACCAAGGGCCCAGATAAGCAAGCCATGATATAATGTGAGCTCTGCAAGAGCAGCTAGTGCTCTTAACCTCTGAGCCATCTCTCCTGATCACAGATGCACACTGGAGTCCAGTCAAGTTCAGCAGAGGAACCAAGCCCAGCCCCTGGTACTGCTTGCTGTAATTATAAAGTTAATAAATGATTGCTTTAGGTTAGTAAGTTTTGGAGTGCTTTGTTATGTGCAAAGGCTAACTGCATACTCCTTAATACAATTCACCATGAATAGTGTCTAGGGGGATGAAAATGGGCCAGCAGGCTGGCTTCCATCTACCTGTCTCTGCCTCCCGAGTGCTGGGACCAAAGGTGTGTACCACCATGCCTGGCGTTCAAATATATCTTTGGGGCTGCTCGATATTGGGACATAGAAACAGCCCCTCTCCCTCAGGTTGCTGTCCATCTAGAAGATGGAAGAATTCCTGGCTTTTGTGAATGTCTACTGTCCAAGCCATGGCACCACCCCAGGTGGAAGTGATAGGTAGACTTCCAGGTGGAAGTGGCAGAATTGAGAAAAAGCCAGGCCTAGCAAACCCTACTCAGAGTCCTCTTCCTGAGGTGTCAGGTGAGGCCTGGGAGTGCGGCACCTGAAGGAGAGTAGAGGAGCAAGAAGCTAAGACAGGACCAGCAAACACAAGGGTAGCTGGGCATGGTGGTGGAAGCTTTTAGTCCCAGCACTCCAGAGGCAGAGGAGGTGGATCTCTGTGAGAACCAGGCCAGCCTGGTATGCATAGCCAGTTCCAGGCCTGCTGGAGCTACAGGGAGACCCTGTCTTTTATATATATATATATTTTTTTTTTTAATTTTTTATGTTTGTGAATGTATTGCCTGCATGTGCATAAGTGTACCGGTGTCACGCAATGCCCACGGAGGTCAGAAGAGAGTGTCAGATTCCTCTGGAACTGGAGTTATGGACAGTTGTTAGCCACCATGTGGCCGCTGGGAATTGAACCTGGGTCCTCTGCAAGAGCAGCTAGTGCTCCTAACCACTGAGCCATCTCTCCAGCCCCAAGGAAGATCCTGTCTTAATAAAAAGGAGGAGAGGTCTGGGGAGATAGTTCACTCTGTAAAGTCTCACAAGCATGAGGACCTAGTCCCTAGAACCGCCATATGCACACACAGCATACATGTACCCCACACATGAACATGTGCACATACACATGCATGTACCCATTAACATGTGCACATGCACACACGCACACACACACACACGCGTGCGCACACACACACACACACACACACACACACGGGAAAGGAGAGTTTCCAGGCAGATGAGGAAAGCAACACAGAGGACTGTCACCATAGTCAGAACGGGGAGGAGATGGGGCTGGGCCACCTGAGACGGCCTCTGAGAGCACTTTCCTCAGATCATTGACCAGAGTCACCAGCACCAGAGCACACCAAGATCAAGAGCTGGAAGCTGAGGGCTTTGAGCTAGAGGCACTAGCGGTAAATGCCACAGATCCAGAACCTTGAGGGCACCAGGGAGCACAGAGCCCACCAGGTCCCCTGGCACCTGGGCAGGAGGCAGCAGTGTACTGGAACCATCTGGCAAGACCTGATTGCTCAACTGTCAGGAGTTCTGTAAGCTTCCTTTAATACAGCCTTTACCAGAACCTAAGGTATATTAACTTATGATTCAATAAATTATATTAAAAACTAAGAAAATGGGCTGAGGATGTAGCTCAGTTGGTAAAGTGCTTGCTTAGCATGCATGAAGCCCTGGGTTTGATCTTTCAGCACTTTTTAAATGGGCATAGTGGCACACGTTTGTGATCCTAGCCCTTGGGAGACACAAGCCAAAGGATCAGAAGTTAAAAGCCATCTTTAGGCCAGGTGTAGTGGCACGTGCCTGTAGTCCCAGCACTTGGGAGGCAGAGGCAAGCGGATCTCTGTGAGTTCAAGGCCACCCTGGTCTACATAGTGAGTTCCAGGACAGCTAGGGCTACAGGGAGACCCTATCTCAAAAAGACCAAAAAAAACCCCACTGTTCTTGCAGAAGATCGGGGTTCGAATCCCAGCACCCACATGACAGCTAACAACTGCCCGTAACTCCAGTTCCAGGGGATCCGACAGCCTCTTCTGTCCTCCGTGG